GTTCGAGACCTGCCTGAGCAGGCGAGACCTCATCTCTACAATAAATCAAAAAATTAGCCGGGCGTGGTAGCACGCGCCTGTAATTCCGGCTACTCGGAAGACTGAGGCGGAAGGATCGCCGGAGCCCAGCAGGTCAAGGCTGCGGTGGCCGGGAGCGGCCACTGCACTCCAGTCTGGGCGACAGAGTGAGACTCCAACTCAAAAAAAAAAAAAAAAAAAAAAGTACTCAAATGTTCATAGCATCTTTATTTATAATAGGAAAAATGGATTCAGTCCAGATGTCCTTCACCAGACAAATGGTTGAACAAATTGTTACTCACATACCATGAAATACTACTCAGTGATAAAAACAAACAAACTTGATACGCACAACAATATGGATGTATCTTTAGGGAACTATGTGAAGTGAAAAAAGCCAAACCCGAATAAAAAAGTCACATACTGCAGGACTCCATTTATAAAGCATTTTTGAAATGTCAAACATTAGACGTGGAGGATGGATGAGTAGTGTCCAGGGATTAGTGATGGTATGAGAGTTGCTACTGAAGGCAGTAGGTATGGTTATAAAAGAGCAACACAGAAGATTTTTATGATATTGGCACTGATTGGTATCTTGACTGTTGCAGTAAATACACAAACCTGTACAAGTGACTAAATTGTACAGAACCTAATAAACACATACATACATAATCACACACACAACACATATCTATGTATATATGTGCGTGTATATGTATATTGTATCAATAACAATATTCTGATAAAAATATTATACAACAATTTTATAACATTTTACAGTTAGGGGAGACTAAGAAAAACGTTTGAGTTCTCTGTATTATTATTTACAATTGCTTGTAAACTTACAATTAACTCAATAAAATTTTCAATTAATAGCCTAATATCATTATTCCAGCAGTTAGTTTGCACAAAGTTTAGACAAAGAGGTAAGAAATAAATGAAAGAAGTGATGCATTAAAAAAATAAAAGAAACACAGATGTTACTGGTAAACCTTGGGCAAGTAAGGGTCAGGCATGATTCAGCAACAGTCTCAAAGTTTCAAGATAAATTATGTTAAAAGAAACCAAGAAAAGAGTTAACTAGTTGGACTGTGTGGTTTCATTGGTAAAATTTTTTTTTCTTTTTTTTTTTTTTGTTGTAGCTGATGTGTTTTTTGTGACTGCTATTGAGAATACAGGTAAAATAAGAAGTCAGTTTTAAATATATTATTTTTATGCATAAAAACAAAATAAAGAGGATAAAATCATTTATAAAACATAAACTAAAGCTTGGCTGATTAAAAATGGATGGAAGTTTTGCACCCAAATCCTCACATTAATATGCCATAATATTTATTTTAATATATCTAAAATAAGTATTTTTGTATTTTGTTTTTACTTTTATTTGCATTTAGCTTTAGGACTATATTTTTTACATATAAGATAATGTAGGTGAAAAAGAAAAATCCTTTATGACAATTTTACCTCGTAAATAAATGAAGTATAATATAAATTAATAAATGATAACTTTTATAAATCAAGCAGATCAATAATATGTGTCGATGTGTCATTATTATGTACCATTATTTTGAAAGAAGCTGGCAATCACAAAATTCTTTTAAAAAATATTGCTCAAGAGAATTTTAAAATAGCTTTCTGTTCTAATATACCTGAGAGATAAAACAGCCTTTCCTTAGTGATAGTGAATCATGAACACTAGAATTCTTAATTACTTTTCTCAAATAAAAATCACTGACAACTTTGAGAGGAAACATACAAATACATTTAAGATACTATAATTCCTGCACTCAAGTATTTTGAGAGCTTGTTTTCAGAAAATAATAAATGTATATGTATAATTAATTTATAACATAAAGTAAATAATTTCCTAGTAAAATAATTAATGCAATTTCACAAAAGACTAGACAAATTATTGTCAAATAAAAGGCATTTCATTTGACAATGCAGAAGTTCTGAAAGAACTATTTTAATTATCATTGTGTATCTTCTTCTTTTTTTTTTTTTTTTTTGCCTCAGTCTTCTGAGTATCCAGAACCGTAGGCTTCTACCACTCCCAGCTAATTTTTTTATTTATTGTGGAGACGCGATCTCACCAAGTTGCCCAGGCTGTTTTTGAATCCGCAAGCTCAGGGAAACCACTTGCTTTGGCCTCCCCAAGTGCTGGGCTTACAAGCTGAGCCAGTAAGCCCAGCCCATTTTACAGTTTTTTGTTTTGTTTTGTTTTGTTTTTTTGAGTTGGAGTCTCACTCCATCGAGCGGTGGCATGCTCCCAGCCACCGCAGTCTCAACTTGCTGGTCTCTAGCGATCCTTCCTGATTGTGCATCTTCTTTGAGAGGTCATTAGACTACAGGACTTAAAAAAGAGGAGACTGTGCCTTCCTTAAAACCTGGGTCACATATAATTCCTGGAGTAAAAAGTCTTTTGATGTATAGGAAGTAAAAAAAGAAATACATTTTTGAAGCAAATATTCCATATATCAAAAAGAAATAGACAGTGTTCTTACTCTCCAGAGAGTGGTTTTTATGGGTTAATTATGTTCATTTCACCAGAGTCTAAAAAAGCCTAACATGTACTAGGTATTCAATATATACTTGTTGAAATCGATTCAGAAAGGATTCTCCATAAAAATCAAGGGAAATTGATATGAAATAAACACTTTCTGCAAAGAATAAAGACGTTCTTTAAAAGCTTGCAACATATGTACACATGCTCAAATAAAAACAAGATTTCTTACTAATAGTTAGGAGGCATTATGGTGTTGAAACATTTTTGTTAGCTATTAAAAAGATACTAAAATTTACTTTTGTAGCAAAAAATGTGTAATATTTCTCTTCCTCTAGAAATTATGTAGGAAAACTTTAAAAAGTAGCTAGTTTCAGGTAAAAGTTTGGAAATGTATACAAGGAAATGATCTCATGTTAGTTTACTCAGTGATATGATTGATTATCATATCATTTGGTATGTCTGGAAGCTACTATTTAGCATTAAAAAAATAAGGAATAGAATATTGAAAAGTCTAAAGAAACACTAGTTGAACATGCCAACATCGTAAAACTGAGTAAAATTTTACTATTCTTAAAATGGGATTTTCCATTTGTATAGTCATCAAAGCATATCTTGAGATTTTTATATATAGCTTTGTTCTCAGACTTGGTAGATCACACACATACCAATATACATTAATGATGCCATCTCAATAGAGTCAAGTTCTGTTAGAATGACCAACTGATATAAAACGTCTTTTGAGATAAATCTATGTTAGGTTTAGGTGCAAGATTAAATAATCTAATGTCAATATTATGAGGTTTTTCTGATTAATCATATGTTTATATGAAATCTATTAAAGAAATTTTGACAGCTTCAATTAAAACAGTTGTAAAATTTTCCTTTGCATAGAAAAATATAATTTCTAATGGCATTCTTTTCTATACAAAATCCAGTGAAGTAACACTTAGAAGAATATTTTTAAGTGAATAAAATTATTTTTGAAATAATGCAGTTAAACATGTTTTAAACAGAAGTATATTTTGATTTTCTAAAAAAAAACGCATTATATATAATACTCAAATTTTAGTTTAATAATTTTCTAATCCTTTCAAAGTCAATTCAGTAGCTAAGCTCTCAGGTTTGTTGATTTTCAAAAAAAGAAAATATGTGTTTTGTTTTCTTCATTTTAAAATCACTAAGTCTTATATGTTAGCTTTAAAAAGGCAAATATTACACACTCACTTTTGACATTTCATAAAACTGCATTATTTTCATAACAAAACTTAAATACCAATAGTGCTTTTATCTACAAGTAAGACAAGTTATTGTCTTTTTTTAAAATTCTGCTTCTAATGGTTTTGCTTCAGGATGAATAAATAATATAAATATTTTGTTGAAGTTAGAGGAAAATATTTTATGCTATTTTATAGGGAAAAATGATACAAAAGGATGTTCCAGAGATATTTCTGGATTCTCCACTCAAAGAGAGTGCCAGAGATCTAATTTATTTATTTATTTTTTAAAGAAATCAGATCGGTTTCTGAGAACACCACTGTCTTGCCAAACTCAATGCTAAAGAAAGCTCCCTGTGGAATTTTCATAAAAAGACTAAGGCTACTACCACAGTTCAATAAAACAAGTAAAAAAAAAAAAAAAAGGAAATGGTGATATGGCAATAATTCAATAAAATATGGCAGCAGTGAAAAGAAAATCTTTAAAAGCAAGTTTAAACATTTCTTAAAGATCTCCTGATATACCATTTCCCAGTAGACTAAATGCAACGAGGAGCGGGGACCAATGTGTTAGCCCACCGACCTACCATAATAGCACGACAGATGCTTCCTACCTGAAGGGGTCATGCCTGAGAGAGAGAGAGGGAGAATGAGACTGACAGAGTGCCCAGGGAGGATATTGATCCACTGACTCTTTTCTGGTAACCATTACAGAGACAAGAGTTGACAGTAATTAAAATGACTTACACACTGGGGTGGTTTCAAACTCAAATCTTCGACTGAAGACACCATAGCCTGCTGCTGTACGTGCTCGAATTTGGAAGATATATACTGAAGCTGGTTTCAAGCCCTCTGCAGTAATAGTTGTCTCTTTAGATTTGATAATTGTGTAGCTGGTCTCTTGGTCCTTGAATTGCACATGTACATACAATAAGAAAAGTAATATAAATTACTCAGACAGCAAAACTTAGAATCACAGATCAGAAAATGCACCAGAAAGCCATGGCTCTATATTAGTACAAATGTATTTTAGAAGAAAATTCTAGATACCCTAGGTGGCGTATCATTTATATAGATTTTAAAGTGTTTTGTAGAGCTCAGCGTAATGGGTGACATGCTATCCACCCACTCACAATTTTTGCCTGTTGCAATAGTGAATTTGTAAAACTTTTAAAATACATTTTTGTAGGAGATTATTATATAAACTCTATTTTAGTATTGTTATTTGTGTGCTTGTTTTCCTTAGATATATTTTACTGTCATATATCTAACATACTGTCTAGTCATAGAAAAAGTTACAGTATCTCACATACAGTGAGGTGAGACATGCTTTGAATCTTTACTGAATTGAATTTAGGTCTTAAGAGAAGAAATTGGTACTTCACTGGAGAACTGTAATTTTAATTCACTAAATCTAAACAGAGAGCATTAAAGAAAAAAAAAGTAAGCAAAACTTTTTTTCTTTTAAGATATTTTCTATTTGGGGGGAGCTAGGTAGGTAATTTATAGAAATGGAATAGGAAAAAAATCATTGCAAAGATAGTTTTGGAAGCTGAAACAAAAAAGAATGATTCCTATTTTAACTGATGACAAAAGTCTAGACTAACTTTTTATAATTCTTCATTATCTCTTTGAAGTTACCACCCTGACTTTAATGTGGACACTAAAATCATATGCTAAAATACAGCAGGTTTATTTTTACTTTTATGCTCAAATTTCTTGTCAGCAAAACTGGAGTAGAAACTGTTATCTGGTTTCGTCACAGATATGATACAAAAAGGAAACAGATCATGCATGTAAAAACAGCTAATAAACTACAAATGCATGTTTTTGTTTTCATAATTTTTAAAAAATATTCTAGACTGTATTTTGCCATGACAAAGTTTACCTCTCACTCCTTTCTAAACTACCAGCAACACTATCTAAATATACAACCTAAACACATTCTTCCTTTACAACAATTTGCAATTCTAATCTAATTTATGCTTAAACACATAAAGTTATCTTATTGTTAAGTAGGGTTGCATTTATCTCTACAAAGGCAAGGCCTAACTTCTAATCTACTTATCAGATTTTCTCATTCATTCTGGCAAATGGCAACTTTCTAGTATTTTAAATGTACACATTAATCTCAGTACATAATCTTTACAGTGTTTAGGACATTTTATTAGAGATTTACAAAGGATTCAAAGTAGGTAATTAAATCCTATAAAACTGTACCTATTAACCAGTCAATTTCTTCATTCATGTTTATTGATCTTCTACTGTCTACTCTATTACTATTTTTCTATGCTAGGAGTATAGCAGTAAACAGCAGATAATTTCTTGATGTGCATCTTTTAAAAAGTATAAATAGCTTCTACAAACTATGAGAGTTACTGATTTTTCTGAGAATGCTTGTTTATGGCTAAATAAACTTGATAATGTTGTTTATCATTTCTCAGTGTTATGGAGAATAAGTAACATTATTTTTCAGTAATATTGTAGTTTACAGCTTTGCTATGATTATAGCAGTAACTTTCAGTTAAAAATAATTACATGTCTGCTAATATTATTTTTATTTGCTTTAAGGGAATTAAACTTGGTTAAAAAAGCTAGTCAAAATAAAAGTATGAGAGTCTGATATACTTGGTATTATTGTAATTTTTACATAAAAATATGTAATGAAAAATAAGAATTTTTTAAAGCACACAGAAATAATAGAACTAGAAATTCCAGCCATGTCATTAACTAAATAAGTGAGCAAATGTGGGCAAACAACTTTGAATCTCAGTTTTTAAATTTTTTAAATGGAGATTAAATTATTTACAAAGATTATTGGGAGGAGATAGAGATAAGAGATAATACATGTAGAACCCAACACAATCTCTACAGAATAGGCTCTAGGTATATTTGATTGCTCTTAACATTATAGCATGATGGTAAATTCTACCACTGAAGAGTAAAAAGTAAAAGAATTTTTCAAGCTTACACAGTTGTAAATCCTAACTATTGAAGTTACAACAAATAAAATTTTGTAAAAATATAATTGTTTCTTTTGCCAAACAGGAAAAATATATATATTACAAGGAAACCATAACACTGCTCCTTGAAATAATGTTCGATCTAATAGCAATTGCACAACATTACCAACATTTTGTCTGATCAATTAACAATATATAAGTCTCCATTGTTCCTTACCTAGCATTTAATTGTACATTGTCTCCCTGAGTTAGCTTAATATCGCATTATTGGGGAGAATTTAGGAACACATATATCCAAAGGGTCAAAACCAACTAACACACATAGTGAAGGATCTACATATTTTCCAAAATTTACTTGTGTTCCGTTCCTCTAAATTCATCGCATATTGTAATTTTCTACATATCACAAACCCTACATAAACATCTTCAACACCCACAGCCACCTGGCTGCCAAGTCCCTGGTCAGGGTAGAGGCTTTTGCAGCCTTCGTGACCCAGCTGAGCAAATGAGCTACATTCCCCAGCTGCTTAGCAAACACTGTTCACACGCATTGAGGGGAGGGCCACAGCAGAAGGAGCCAGCTGGCAAACACTCTGCCAAGGGGCAGCTTCCCTTTGCCTCTTCCTTTAATTAAGAGATGGCAATAGGCCCATCATCATGCGGGAGCAGAAAAGCCCAATGACCTCTATTAGAGCAGGGCAATCACAGGCAGAAATGCCAGCTGGCAAATGCATGTGCCCTGGAAAGCTCTGCCACCTGTGTCTGGCCAAAAGCCATCCAATAAAAGGGTGGCATTATTTTGAAGCTTTGAAATGAGCTCTGGAAACCTATCAAGACCCCCACCTCAATACATGAGCTGACAGCTTAGGATCTTCTTTTTTTTTTTTTTTTCTTCTGAAAGTCTTTAAAACACCTTTATGTGTATTATTATCAGTATGCTCCAAAATCTGGCTCAACAGAAAGGTCTGAAAATTAATATCTTTGTTGTAGAAAGGAAAACATTGACCACAAGAAGTTAACAACTTCCAGCAAAATAGTAAATTATATAAAGATTTGGCTGTTTTGAAGTGCATGTAAGTAGGCAACTAGTTATTCATTTATTGAGCATATGTACAGAAACTTTTAAAAAATATTTTTTCTTAACTTGAGCTATGTAGACAATAGAGTAGATTATTACAGCATTAAGTATAAGTAATTAAATAGAAGAACAAGTCACACTGAAATAAATATGATTCAAAAAAATTGAACCATACAGAAAATTCTGCAACATGGATAAAATTCACTAGCAAAAAATATTAATAGAAAAAACTCCACATCACTTGTTGAGTAATTCTGTTCTAGCATAATCACAACTTGAAAAACATAAATTCTTGCTAATATTGAATATTGCACACATAATAAGATATATGCATATGCTGTGAAGTAGTAGTAAAAACAATTGAAGTTTATCCATAAGGGGAGAAATCTGACGATTTCCTTAAGGACAATCCAAAAAATGCTAGTCATCGAGCCAGTTAGTTGATTCAGGTGAAAACAAACAATCAATGTAGGCAAATAATTACTTGTCAAACTTTTAGTATTGCTACTATTGAGCTGTAGTTCATCTAAGATACATGTAGATATATGCATATCCAAATATACAGTTGTTGGTGTTTGGTTGTTTTACAATTCCTCTATGCATTTTGACTTCCAAAATCAACCTTAATTACAATAAGAATTTGAAAACTGAGAATATTTACAGTAGAATTCGGCACGTGTTTATATATTTATATAACTAAACAGTTTGCATTCGTATAGGGTCATAAAGGTTGCAAAGACTTAAATAAGAAACATAAACCTTAATTTTACAAATTATTTCAAGCACATAGCATGTGTTTAATTTGTAGACCTCTGAAACTTGCATTGCTATTTTTAGTTACCAATCCCAGAGAAACAAGAATCAGTAAGTAATAAAGAAATACCAATGTCAGTACATTAATATTAATGTCACTACATTCCACTTAATTAACTACATACTTGTTAATAATAAACACTAAAACATATCCCAACATAACTTTACTGAAGAGGTATTCTCTTAGAGCATTCTTGTGAATAATATACTTGATTACTTTGTAGTGAAAGGTAAGTATCATAATTTATGCTCCTTAATGATCTGATAGTTATATGTAGTACTATCAGCGAGTTGATGACTTCAAAGGTAAAAATCGACTCTTTACTCATCTGTTAATAAAATCAACACATGAATATCATAGAGACATCCAAAACTTAGAAAGAGTATGTGGATAGCCCTCACCCCATCCCCCTACTACTGTTTTATGCTTTGCCATGTCTTTACAGAAGAAATTGTTGAATCAATGAACAAAACGACTTGATTTATTTTTAAAATCTCTATAATTCTATAACAAATTAGCATTCAATATATTTACCTGAACTCTTTTATCTATGCATATGTAATTTTGAATTTTTTTATCATTTTCATTAATAGGATATCAGTATTTTTCATAATGATGGAAAGAAAAAACATTTCTCTCCCCTCATCCCCCTTCTCTTTCTCAGTGTCCTAGCATGAGCAATTTTTAGGTATTGTAAAGTAAGTTTTGAACTTCCTACCATCCTCTTTACTCTTCCTGAATAGAAAAGTGATATTTCTGCAAATCAGGAATTGATTGAGTAGAGATAAGTCCTTATCTCTACTTTTGGAATTTGTTTGCCTGCATGGCGAACATGTTCTTTTCTATCTTTATTTCTGGATCAGGGGCTCTAATCCATATCTTAAGGTTGGTTTATGTACCCATATCTCTTTACCTCCTCTGTTAGAACTCAGGTTGTCCTAAGGTATGTATGCCATTTAGATCCAGGCATTAAAAGAAATCACAGTCAAATGGAGCATGAGTGGTAGCAAGACTCATGCTAGCTATGTATCTAAGCCACATATTCCAGGCCAGCTTCAGAAATGACAAGCTCATCTTTAGACTGCATCTGTGGGATTCTTTCATCAGTAGCTCACTTGGCTGTGAACTCAGAAATGGGACGATAATTACCTTTAGACTCAACTCTTATGGCAAAATATGCAAAAAGTTGCCCAGGAAGCAACTCAAAGACCAAGAGGAAATCAAACAAACATCTAAGAATTGCGAGGCACACATTTCTGACTTTGTACCCTCAAATTCAAACATAAAGTTTATGCTACAGGGCTAAATGTTTGCTAGGAATGTTTAAAAGTATTATGTTTTATGTGTCTCATCTTTCCATAGCTCTTTATCAGAATAGGTGATTCCCAGTTACTGGCTATAAGCACACCTGATTTTCCTTGCATACAACAGTCACGCCTGAAAGTAAACAGCTTAAGTGTTTGTAATACTTTCAAATGTCCTATGACTTCATCTTTTAATGCTGTGAAACTAAGTTAAGCTCATATTAGACAATATGGCTGCATCCAGGCTGCATAAACTATTTGGCAGGAGCAGAACATGAATAGAGAACTCCCTGCACACTTCCAGCCTCCCTAATCTAACTTCAGAATCAATTGTCATTGATTCAATGTAAAATTGCAACAGACTCTTTTGCAAAGTGGATAATTGCAGCTGCTAAAATGCAACAAGAAAAGAAAGAAAGGACATTTTTATACTGTTAGTCCTACCTTTTCAAAATATTTGATTTCATACTCAAGGATGATTCCATTGGGGCGATCTGGCTCTTGCCAAGACAAAGAGATGCTGTTTTTTGCAATCTTTCCCTTTTTCACATTCGTAACTGGAGATGGGGCTGCAAAATAGTATAAATAAAGAGTAGTGTGATTAATAAAACAGTAAAATTACAATTTTTTCTTTGTAATATGTATACAGACATTTTTAGAATATAAGATTATAAGAATCCCAATTAAATTTTCTTTTAACTTGGTAAAAACTTGACTTTCTCTATATAAGTTCTTAAAGGTTTGTGAAGTTTTTACAAATATAAATCAGCTAAATATCATCAAAATTTTCTCAAATAAAACTGTAGCCCATATTTTTTCCACATGGTTTAAAAATATATGTAAATTAGTTTATATTTTACAGACTAAAGATGTTCCTGATAATCTTATGTATCTTCTATGTTTCTAAAATTTATGGACTCTGTATGACATACCCCATTATCTTAATATTTCATGAGTATCTATATCACTGTATTTCTAAAACATTAAGACTTTTTAATAATTTATTATATCTGAAATCACACTAGTATAATCACATATTAAGTATAGTGGGACATTCCTTTAAAATATGTCACTCAATATATGGTATATATTGAAATAATAAATAGAGGAACATATTCCTTCATTCCCATTCTCCTCAAATATTTCATTAGAAGTTATAACCAGCCGGACTCGGTGGTTCAGCCTGTAATCCCGCGCCTTGGGAGGCTGAGGTGGGTGGATTTCCTGAGCCCTTGGGTTCGAGACCCGCCTGGGCAACCTGATGAGACCTCATCTCTACAATAAATCAAAAAAATTAGCCAGGCATGGTAGTGCGCGCCTGTAATTCCAGCTACTTGGAAGGCTGAGGCGGAAGGATCACCAGAGCCCAGCAGGTCGAGGCTGTGGTGACCGGGAGCGGCCACTGCACTACAGTGTGGCTGAGAGAGTGAGACTCCAACTCAAAAAAAAAAAAAAGGAAGTTATAACCACTTATGTAGTTCACTGGTATTTGCTATAGTATCTATTAAACAACTACTATTCTAATGAAAATACAATTTATATATAATGTAGATTTATATATGCTAATTCAGATATATCTGGATATTTTGAGTTCACAAAAAAATCTGGATATTGGAATCAAAGTTCTATTGTCAGTCTGCAGATACTTATAGAGACATTCTGATTTTACAAAATGTCCAGAAAAGCCGGGCTCGGTGGCTCAGCCTGTAATCCCACGCCTTTGGGAGGCTGAGGTGAGTGGATTGCCTGAGCCCGCGGGTTCGAGACCCGCCTGGGCAGCGAGACCTCATCTCTACAATAAATAAAAAAATTAGCCGGGCGTGGTAGTGCATGCCTGTAATTCCGGCTACTCGGAAGGCTGAGGCGGAAGGATCGCCGGAGCCCAGCAGGTCGAGGCGGCGGTGGTCGGGAGCGACCACTGCAGTCCAGTTGGGGTGACAGAGTGAGACTCCAACTCAAAAAAAAAAAAAAAAAAAAGTCCAGATGACCGGGTAAAACAGCTTAGTTCATTGTAGTATTATAGCAAAATAGCAAATTTACTGAAGTAGAAACAGCAATAGAGGATTAAGGAAGTGAATTTTTAGAATATATTTTATTCAGTACTGAATATCTTTATGAATTATCTTGAATCACGAATTACAATCACTTTTCCATTATCACTATATATTTATTGCATTATATATTGTTTTTTTTAAACCCAGATAAAGACTAAATCTTCAAGGTTCTTCACTCACTTAACTACAGTAAAAACATTTTTTCAGAATGATTTTTTAAAAGCTAGCTGTCAATTTTCATCTAATGAATTGATAATATTGTCACCTTTCTATTCATAAATTATATTTAACATATATGTTCAGTGAAAGCAGCAATTGATTTGATTTAGTTCTTTGCTATATTTCTAGGACCAGAAAATTACGAAGCATGTTAAAATGTAAAAAATAATTGTTGAACTAATGCATGGATGAATGAATGAATGGTAAGTATCATCATGTGTCATTCAAACTTGAGTTTGCTTCATCATAGGAGAATATAGTAGGATAATATTAGTTTGGGATTTGTGCTATATTTTAAAACTCAATTAGTTATTTAACAAAATAGCCAGCTACATTAAAGTGAAGATGCCAAATACATATCAACACAGACAAAAACAGCATAAAATGGAACATTTTGTTATTTACTTGCATCCATCAAAGTTAAAACATATGTTAGTTAGCTTTCAAAGACTTATATTTAACAAATGCCAATGTTTTCCATAATCGGTTTTCTCAGTTGCTAAAAATATTCTTTAAAATATCTGATCAGAATGAGGGAAGAAGACCACTTCTGAACTCAGGAGAGTTCAGAAATAATTTCCTCTGTGACAAGACCATCTCTGTATCATCTGGGTACACTGATGAAAGTGGGGACGCTGACAGATCCTGGGGACATAATGATGATGTGCAAATTGTGAATGGCAGCAATCCTACACTCCTGCAAAGCATTTATACGGGTCTCATGCACATTAAAATAGCTGTAACCAGGTTTGTCAGCATCAAGGGGCATGTTCCATTTATCTTATTTGTCTGCCTCGCTGATACTTTTCTCTCATTCTCTGCCTGCTCCCTCTTTTATTAAGGAAGCCTGGTATCAAATGAGAATGATGACTTGGAGCAATTCTGCTTGTAAAATTTTGATGAATGATGTCAAATCATAAAACTATTACTATCCCTGTGTCAAAAGAGGGAAAAAATATACCAAAGAAATTAAGTTGTGAAGAGTACAATATAATTTGCATAACTTCTGAGTTGTAATTTTCAGATATGTAGAAATATTCCAAATTATTTCTGTATTGTCTCTTCTCAAAGTTGTCCTTTGAATACCAACATCATGTATAAGATACTGACCTTTTAGGCTAATGATCCCGTTACAAACTAGTTGTCTTGAATGCTTGAACTTTTAAAATACATTTTTAAATTTAAAATAATTTCATAACTATAAAGAAGATAAGAGAGTCTTCATATACTTCACCCCTAATGCCCACTATTAGAAGTGTAGTATATTCATACATTTATCATAATTAATTAACCAATATTGATAGAATATCGTTAACTAAAGTTCACTCTTTATTCAGATTTTCATAGTTTTTACCTAATGTTCTTTTTCTGTCCCAGGACTCCCTCCAGTAAACTACACTAATTTAGTCATCATGTTTCTTTAAGTTCCTGTTGGTTGAGATAATTTTCCAGACTTTCCTTTATCTGATAACACTGATACTTTGGGGGCATACTGGTCAGGGATTTCATAAACTGTCTTCCAATCTAAGATTCATTTAATGTTTTTGTCATGATTAAACTATGGTTGTGAGGTTTTTGAGGAAACCACAGAGGTAAATCACCACTTCCGATGTATTAGTCAAAGGTACACACTATCAACATAACCTCACTGTTATGTTAAACTCAATCACGTCTCCCCTGTAAAGTTATTTTTTTCCAGCTTCCCATATTGTACACTTGGAAGAAAGTCACTATTTGTAGTGCACATTTAAAGAGTGGGAAGTTGTGACCCACTTTTTAATGGGTGTAGTATCTGCCTAAATTATTGGGAATTCTTCTGCATGGAAAATGTGTCAATTCTTTATTTAAAATGCATTTAATTAGTTATATTAATGTGGCTTTTTACATCAGTATGTGTTTTTTAATACTTGAGTTTATAACTGAATATTTTATTTTGATAATTTGCCATTGCTGTCCATGGAAACTGTTTCAGTGCTCTTATGTCCCTCATAATTATGGGTTTGCCTGTTTGTATGTTTTGCACATCAATTTCTTACTTTCTGGCACTAGAAAACCAGAAGCTCTGGATTCATCTTGCTTTTCTACTGCTCCAGTCCTAGCATCAGTCATTTCTCCAAGGGGTAATGGTTTCTTCTATTGGAGAAAGTATTAGAAACCCAAATCTGGATGTTAGGTGTGTTCCTTGCCACTGAGATACCATTGCTTCTAAGCCCTTTCAGCTGACAGAACAAGGTCATAAATGTGTGTATGTTAACTCTTGCATATTTGTAAATATTTCTATCTATAGCCATTATATCCCTATTAAGCTAAACTTGAATACATGCTAATGTCGCCAACTCTATCAATTATCACACAGATCATTCTAGGTTTCTCACTTTACTCATAGGTAACCTCCTGTTCCAAGAGTGACTCCTGCCATCTGCCTTCCAGTTATTTAATAGTTCGATTCAGAATCTACGTCTAGTGGTTTCAGAAGTGTTTATCTGTGCCTTTTTGACTTATTGATAGTGATAGATAGAATGTACACATTTCTAACATCTCAAAGGCACAAGCAAGATATACAAAACCCAGCCATCAGTTGTAAATATATATATATATATTGCTTTTTTAAATAAATAAATATATATATATATAATTTTTATTTTTCAAATATGGAAACAGAGTTTAAGGCACAGTGTCCCAATGTGGGAAGGAGTGCTATGGCACAGATAGCTTTGCAATAAGGTAGAACTGATTTCAGATCTCTTAGCAGCAAACCATTTCTGTGTGACCCTGCTTAAATTGCTTAGCATCTATGAATGCACTTTTCAATCTTTATAATAGGAGCAATAACACAACTTGTTTCTTGAAGAAGTTGTCTCCTAATTCTCTCTCTATATATATATTGTCAGGATGGGAATCAAATAAATACTATTTGTAATCATATCACTTGTGACATATTATAAAATAGTTTAAGAAGACTTTAATAATAGATATTCCATAATTCCTTAATTTTTTCATTCTTCATCAGTCATAATTATTTGTCGTCTCTTTCCAAATTTGGCACTAAGTGCTGAATGAGATCAAAAGTACTTACAAAAATAGATAAGAAACTTTGTTTTCTACATTCAGTGGATTTCACAACTCTATGCTCATAAATAGTAATGAGTAAACTTTCTTGATTTTATTAATCAGCAAAAAGTGTTGGGCTTTTGAGTGTTCACTAAAAGATCAACAGTTATATTTAGTATAGGATGTCTTTCTCATTCTTAAAACAAAGTGAACTTGAAGCTTAATTTTGTCATATGGAATTAAAA